TCACCGTTGCTTTGACACCTCTTAGAGATGATATCAATGCTTTCACGACAAGGATAGAGGTGTGTGAGAGAGGCCAGGTAGCCACTCATGAGGTGACGACCTTAAATGTCGTAATTGCAGAGTTGAGGAAAGATGTGGACCAGCTGAAGTCCACTTACATGTTGATGATTTTTGGGACTGTGGACATCCCTGATGACCTGGACACAGATATTCTAGCCTATTCTTATGTGCCTCCGGCTACTACCGGAGATGAGGTTAGCGTTGATGATATGGCTGGAGAGTCCGAGGCTGAGACTGATGAGGAGCAGCTTGGTGCTCAGGAGGAGACCACCTATGAGGGCCTTACTGAGGTTGAGAAGGCGATGGTACGTTTGTCCATTCAGACTTTATTGAGGGATACCTCGATGGCAGGCTTTAGTAGAGCTAGTGTTGATGTTACATCAGGCACTGATGTTCAATCCTAGTTGACCCCTAGCATTAATGCCCAAACAGATGGAGTGACTGCGATGCAGACTTCACCCCCGGCTTAGCCGGATGACATCTTTACCTCCTTCTATGTTGTTTTTATTGATTATTGTTGTTTTAGTTGCATTTTAGTACAAGTTCTTTTCTTTTGTGGGTGGAGTGAGGTATTTCCATACCTACTTGATGTGATTACATTTTATTTGTATATATTGGGTTTTGTGATCTATATTTGTGTTTTAATTGTGTTTGGATCTGAATCTTGTGGATGTTTGAGCTAGCTCCTTGTTTTGAATGGAAATGGTTTTGACCTATGTTTCAAATTTTGTGCCACCTCTATTGTTTCTGATTGTGGCTGTTCTTGTGCAAATTTGAGTATCGGTTATGATCAACACCGATGACTTGAATAGTGCTCTTAATTGTACAAAATGAATGTGGGGCAATGATGAGGCCAAATGAAGTTCCATAGACAATGTGTGGACTTTTAGCATCTCGTTGTGACTAGCCGGTTATCGAATGAGTCTCTTGTGCTGAACATTGCACACTAGCTAGAAAGTGTGGAGTCTTGTTTGATATTGGTGCCAATGCCTTGTGTGCTGAGATTACCTTGATCATTGTGTGTGATGACACCTAGAATTTTTACCGTTGGTCTGGTTGACTAAGTGATGGAAGCACTTGAAATGATCTTAGGCAACAATTTTGAAGAGTGAAACAATTTGACAATATACCTCTTTTTGTGGCCAACCTTGTGAGATGTGTGAACCTTGCTTGAACCCCCTTGAGCCTTATCCTTTTCTTGGAAGAAACTTGAGCAATTGTGACCACTCTTTATCCATTCACCCATAACTCTCATGAAGTGTTGATTGTTTGAATAGCCAACTTAGTCCAAAAGCCTAAGTTGGGGGTGTGGTGAAAAGAGAAGGGAAATCAAGAAGTGTGAGAAATTCCCCCTTTGAGTAATGGCTTTGAAAAAGATGGAACCCCTCCATGTAGCAAAAAAGAAGAAGAAAAAAGAAAGCAAAAGAAAAAGAATGAAAAAGTTGTGAAATAAAGTAGTGGAAGTTGCAAAAAAAAAAGGGGTGTTGAATAATCGGGTGAATTGTGAGCATGATCAAAATGTTAAAGAAAAGGAAGAAAGTGATGTTCAGACAACACTTCATGTGAGTAGTAACAACTGAGCCTAAATGACCATACCTTTACACTCAGCCCCATTGCAAGCCTTGAAAAGACCTCTGTGATCTTTAGTGAGCTGAAACAAATGTTGATTCGAAAATAAGGGCAAACCTATAGGTAAAGTCATGCATGTGTTCATCTTTGTGAGTGTGATAGTCGTATGTGATTCCGGAACTATAAATTGTTGAAGAGCATTGTATGACTAGGGAATCATTTTTGTTGTGAGGGCATTTGACTACCTTTGTTGAGCTTGAACTTGAATTTCAAGCAAGTGTTGTGAACTTGAGCGTCTTTGATAATGGTGAGTCACAGTTTGAATATTTGAGTGCACAAGCGATCATTGCATGAGTAAGTTGAATCTTGTTGTGTGCATTCATGTCGAATCCTATGCAGCACTATGTGAAACATCCTTTTTGAACTACTGATCTTCAGTTTTACTTGAGGACAAGCAAAAGTTGATGTTGAGGGTGTTGATGAGTCCGAGATTTGGACTCATTTAGGGCTTTGTTTATATAGATTTATTGTCCTCAAATGTTTAATTTGTGCCATTAACTGATGTTAAATCCTTGATTTTCACGTATTTTGATAGAAGAATAAAGCAAGGACACTAACAGGCAAAAAGGAACAAACCAAACTGAAGAAATAAAGAAAGGCAAGCCTGGTGATCTCCAAGAGGACTTGGAGAATCGCCGAGGGGCTAGTTTGACTGCCTAAAGTTCCATTGTGCCAGCTCTGAGGGAAGAAACCAAGTCGGTGACAAAAATAAACAGTCCGCGAATCACCGAGCAGTTCCACGATGCAAATAGAGATCGCCCAAAGTTTCAGAACTTGAGGATGCTAAAGTGCCAAGGCGAAAAGGCGATGGAAGAGATCAATGGGAAGTTCACCGAGTGGTTCGGCAAGCCCGACTTACTTCGCCAAACAACACTTTGTGGCTTAATTTTGGTGACTATAAATTAGATTTTGAACATTTATTTTAGCATGTTGGACAGAGTGGACTAAGCCTAATTTAGTTTAGAACACTTCTCTTTGTAGTTTTTCATAGTTTTGAAGAATTTTAGAGGTTTAATTTGGAGATTTTGGGAGTGGGTTTTGAATATTCTACAAATTGAAGCATTGTAAAGACTAAATCACTCTTACCCAGTTGATGGCTAATCGATTCAATAATCGTTTTTACTTTTTTATGATGTTTGGCTAAAACCCCAATTCTTGGGGTGTGATCATGTGATTACGGGTTGAATTAGTTTATGGGTATTGTTAATTACTAGTTTAAATGCAAAATTGAAGTGAATTTAATCATTAATTGTGGTTTAATTTATGAATTGTAGTTGCAAATGCAGTTCTAATTTTGTGTTTTTGGCTTGCGAGAGAGAGGTTTTAGAACTAAGATTATTGATTAATGATTTGTAGGTATTGGGTTGAGTTGGGTTTAGCTCGAGAGAGTGAATCCTAAACTCAATCCTACCAATCTAGCTCGAGAGAGTGGATGAATTAAGTTGTGGGTTGTTATTCATTGTTATGCTTGTAGATGTTCGAAAGATATCACCTTATTTAGGGTAGTTGTTCGAGAGAAAGCTATCTCCCTTATAGTCTAGCCTACTGACTGATTTTTAGGTGTTTACTAGTAGTTTCAATTACCTATATATCAACATTGTCCTATAATCGATCACATCCCGAGAATTTTTCTCCTTATTGTTAATTCGTAGTGTTTGTAACTGCTTTGTAATTGATAATTAAAACCAAACCCCCATCTAACATTCGTGTAACCCCTTTAATTTGATTATTGTCTTTTTTGATAATTTCTATTCCTATGGCTGATTAGACCACGTTTGCATTTCCTAAATGAATTTGAACACGTACCGCTCCCCGTGGGAGTTGACCCCAAATCATTTGTTGAGTTTTATATTGATTAACGATCGTTGACACCTAGAATTGGATGAGGTGTGCTTAAAATGTTAAATCAGGGGGTTCCACTTGGCGGATCGCCAAGCCACTTAGCGTTCACTCCCTTCTTTAACGAGTCGGTTAAGGAAAGGGATATTTTTCGCTTCTCTGTATCCGAGGTGTTACAAAAATGAAGCAAAAGTCTCATACACTTGTCTAAAAATCCATCTACAACAATAGAATCATTGGGACACAGCCCATACAACAATGTTCAAACCTAAAATCAAAAGACCATAAGGAACTGGTGGTCAAATCCTTGAATACTATGAGGACTGGCCAATCTTCAATCTTGCCTCTACTATAGATCTTAGCCACGGGGATGAGAATCGGGAACGTCGGACCCTACATTTGGATAAGAAATGTAGGCAAGGGTATACGTTAGTATAAGAATGAACTAAATATGATAGCTTTCATAAACATCAACATAAACATAAGAGTTAGACAACATAAGTCATAACCATAATCAATGCACATAATAGATCATTTCAACATAAAAGGAATACTTCTTGAAGTAACCTCAATTAGTCCTTAGTCATCAAGGAAGGCAAACTCAAGCAACAATCCAAGCTCATCGCCTATAATACTTATCTTAGATTATCTTTTATAGACATGAGGAATCACTTCTTTCCTTCCTATAAAGGCTCATGGGAATTCTCCTCTTGCCTTAATTAAATGGATCATGGGTACTCACTTCCATGTCCAACTTATGGGATCATGGGTACTTGCCTCCATGCCCAACATTATATGACACGGGTACTCGTCTCCATATCTTTATATAAGGATCATGGGTAATCGCCTCCATGTCAAATAATCATTATAGGAACGTGGGAGGTTGATTGAATAATACTACCAAAGACACTTAATCCAGTTCTAAGAGTCAACGATTGTTAGTCAGTATATAACCCAACTAAATGAGTTGGGGTCGAATCCTATAGGGAGTGGTGCGTGTTTAAGATTCAATAGGAAAATATGAATATGTTCAAATCAGCCATAGGAATAGACATTATCGAATAAAGACATAGGGTGTGTTTGGTATGAAGGAAAACATTTTCCGGAAAATGTTTTCCAATTTTCTCATGTTTGGTTGGGCTAAATGTTTTGGAAAATGTTTTCCAAATCAATTCATTTTCCTCAAATTTAAGGAAAATGACTTCCCTTCTAAATAGGGCTGGGCATAATATGGTTAAAACCGAAAAAACCGACCGAACCGATTTTTTTTTTTAATTTCGGTTTCGGTTTTTCGGTTATTTCGGTCGTTTTCGGTTTCAATTTTGAATATTTCGGTTTTTTGGTTTGGTTTTCGGTTTTTGGCTAAAACAATTCGGTTAACCGAAAAACCAAAATTATACATATATTCTTTACACCTCTTAATTAAATTACTTCAGTAGCCCATGCCCAGCCGGCCCATTTTCAAAATTAGGCCCAAATTCCAATAGAAATCCCTAAACTGATAACCTGAAATCCCTAACACAATACAAATCACAGTAAGCTCTCATCTCTCAACTCTCGTCACTCGTCAGTCGTCTCTCAGTTACGACTTACATCGCTGCTCGTCTCTCAACTCTCATCTCTCGTCTCTCGTCTCTCGTCTCTCGTCTCTCGTCTCTAAAGTCTTAGGCCAGCCGCTACTCCTTGGCTCCTCGCTGAGTGCTCGCAGGTCGCAGCCCGCCACTGCTCAGTGCTCGCGACTCGAAGGTTAATGCTTCTATATAGAGAATATCAACTAGGTGAGTTTGGAGAGCAAAAGCAAAATTGTATGGCATAGATTGTTGGAGTTTCGAGAGTATTGTTAAGTGTTGATTGTTATTTGTTATAGAAGTTGATGTTGATTGTTGTATTATTTGAACAGCAACACAGCCACAACCACAACCCACAGGTCACTGTTAATTGGTAAGTTGCAAGTTAAATGTTGTTGAAATTTGAAGGCAAAAGACAAACTGTATGGCATAGATTGTTGGAGTTTCGAGAGTATTGTTAAGTGTTGATTGTTATTTGTTATAGAAGTTGATGTTGATTGTTGTATTATTTGAACAGCAACACAGCCACAACCACAACCCACAGGTCACTGTTAATTGGTAAGTTGCAAGTTAAATGTTGTTGAAATTTGAAGGCAAAAGACAAACTGTATGGCATAGATTGTTGGAGTTTCGAGAGTATTGTTAAGTGTTGATTGTTATTTGTTATAGAAGTTGATGTTGATTGTTGTATTATTTGAACAGCAACACAGCCACAACCACAACCCACAGGTCACTGTTAATTGGTAAGTTGCAAGTTAAATGTTGTTGAAATTTGAAGGCAAAAGACAAACTGTATGGCATAGATTGTTGGAGTTTCGAGAGTATTGTTAAGTGTTGATTGTTATTTGTTATAGAAGTTGATGTTGATTGTTGTATTATTTGAACAGCAACACAGCCACAACCACAACCCACAGGTCACTGTTAATTGGTAAGTTGCAAGTTAAATGTTGTTGAAATTTGAAGGCAAAAGACAAACTGTATGGCATAGATTGTTGGAGTTTGGAGAGTTGTTGAGTGTTGATTGTTATAGAAGTTTGTTGATTGTTGTATTATTTGAACCGCAACCTGCAACACAGCCACAACCCACATGACACTATTAATTAAATTTGGTTAAACCGAAAACCAAACCGAAATAAACCAAACCGAAATTGTAATAACCGAACCGAACTGAATTTATTTCAGTTTGGTTTGGTTTCATATTTTTGCCAACCGAAAACCGAAAAACCAAACCGAAATTTACAAACTGAACCGAACCGACCGAACGCCCAGCCCTAACCCCAACAATGGAGGATTTCTCTGATTTCATTGAAGATATGGAGCTGATGGTGGACTTTCAGCTGGTGGTGGTGGTGTGCGATTATACTTGGATTAAAGGAGATAAGACTAATGCTGCTTCCAGAATTGACAGAATTCTTGTATCCAAAGAGTGGGATGACAGCTTCAGGAAAATCAAATAGGTTAGGCGGCAGAGATTTGTTTCTTATCACCATCCAGTGGCATTACAATGTGGTGAATGGGAACAAACCAAATCATATTTCAAATTTGACAACTGGTGGCTGAACACAAATGGTTTTGTGGATAGAGTTAGAGGTTGGTAGGAATCTTTTGATTTTACTGGAAAGCCTGATCATATCCTAGCATGCAAACTGAAAGCTTTAATAGACAAGCTAAAAGAATGGAGCAGGTCCACCCTAGGTGCAATCTGGGAATTCAAAATACTCAGATTTTGGGACAAATGGCTAACCTAGATGCAGTTCTGGAGACTAGACAGTTAACTGAAGAGAGGAGCCTATGTTGAAGGCAACTCTGCTGATGGATTATGAGGAACACCTTAAAAATGAAGAAAACATCTTGGAGACAAAGATCTAGGGCTCTTTGGCTTAAAGAGGGGGATAGGAATACCAGCTTCTTCCACAAAATGGCCAATGCACATAAGAGAAGCAATAATATTGACCAGTTAGTGATAATGTAAATCAAGGGGTGACACGAATGTCAAATAAAATAGGGGGTTTTGGTTTTAACTATCAGCTACAACAACAACAAATAGCACGAAAATAACAATATTGAGACGGGTTCTTGGGTTGTAATTTGATTATAGGCTAATATTGACAAATGGGTAATTGCAACCGTTAGAAAATAGCTGTAAATCAGTTAATAAGCTAGACTTTAGTAGGGATAAACTTTCTCTGGAACAATTTACCGGGAATCAAGTTGGTTTCTCTCGAACACCAATAAGCATGCAAATAAGAACAACCTTTGCGTTAGTCCATTCACTCTCTCGAGCTCTAAATGTGTGGAAATGGGTTTAGGATTCACTATCTCGAGTTGAACCCATGAAAACCCAATACCCACAGACCATAAATTCAGTAATCTTGGTTTTAAAACCTACTTTCTTCGAGCAAGCCAAAACAACGAGGTAGAACTGCATTTGCGACTACAATTCTTTTAAAATTGAACAACAATTACTGATTGAAATCACTTCTAAACAACATTTAAACTAACAATTAGCAATACCCACAAGTTAAATCAACCCATAATTATATAATCACACCCCAAGAAATGGGGTTTTAGCTAGACATCATAAAAAGATAATAATCGTTACCAAACTGAGTTTCCATCAACTGGGTACGATTAGTTTCGGCTTTAAAAAGGTCTAAATTGAAGAATCTCAAAGACCCACTTCCAATTTCTCAAAAATGGAAAACTTCAATTCTTCAAAGCTAAGGAAAATTTGTCTCAATACTCAGAGTTCAAAAATAAGATACTTATACATGATAATGATAAAAGCTCTAATTTCTGGATAAAAGATTGATAAATCCTAAACTAAGTGTTCAAAAAACGTATTTTTAGTCGCCAAAAATATGCTGCAAAGGACCATTCAACACAGTAAGTCGGGATTGCCGATCAGCTCGGCAATCCGCCCTTTGGTCAATTCCATCGCCTTTTTGCTTTGGCCTTCAGCATCCTCAAGTTCTGTAACTTTGGGCGATCCAACATTGCATCGCGAAACCACTCGGCGACAGGCCGACTGCTCCTTTCTTTCGCCAATTTGATTTTCTCCTTCAGGGCTTGACACACTGGAACTTTAGGCGAGGTAATGGCCATTCGGTGACTCGCCAAAGGGACTTGGCAATCACCAAGCCTTCATTTCTTCGTTCTTTCAGCTCGCCTCGTTCCTTTTTGCAACTTAGTATCCATGCTTTGTTCCTCAATCCAAATACCTGGAAATCAAGGATTTTACATCAGTTATTGGCACAAAATAAGCATTTGAGGACACTAAATCTATCCAAATAAAGCCCTAAATGAGTCCAAATCTAGGACTCATCAACACCCCCAACTTAAACTTTTGCTTGTCCTCAAGTAAAGCTCAAGTTCAACAATTCAAAAAGGATGTCTCAAACAGTGCTACACAAGACTCAATCATGAATGCACACAAAAATACTCAATTTACTTATGCAAGGATCAGTTGTGCACTCAAAGATTCAAGTTGTGACTCATCATTATCAAAGATTCTCGAGCTAACAATACTTGCTTCAAATGTAAGTTCAATCTTAACAAGGTACTCAAATGCCCTAACACAAAGAATGATTCCATATTCACACACAATGGTTCACTAATTTATAGCTCCGAAATCACATGCAACTCTCACACTGACAAAGATGAACACATGCATGACTTCACCCATAGGTTTGCCCTTATTTTCCAATCAACTCATGCTTCAGCTCGCTCAAGATCAAAATGGTCTTATCAAGGCTTGTAACGGGGTTGAGTGTAAAGGCATGGTCATTTAGGCTCATGGCTGCTATCCTCATGAAATGTGGTATGAACAACACTTCCTCCCCTTTTCTTTAATAATTTCATTCATGCTTAAAATTCACCCCATTATTCATTTTCCATGAAACTTTGGACACCCCATTTCTTTTGGCAACTTTATTTCAACATTTTTCTTTATTTTTTTTCTTCTTCTTTTCTTTTTCTCTCTTTTTTATTGTATGGAGGGGTTCCTTCTTTTTCAAAAGCATGGATAGAGGGGGATTTCTTCGCACTTCTTGATTTACCTTCTCTTTTCACCACACTCTCAACTTAGGCTTCTGGCCTAAATTGGCTATTTACACAAACCATACTCATGATTATTAAGGTAAAGGGATAAAGAGAGGTTGCATTTGCTCAAGTTTCTTCCAAGAAAAAGGCTAACGCTCAAACGGTGCTCAAACAAAGTTCACATATCTCACAAGGTAGGCCACAAAAGAGGTATAATGTCAAAAAATTTCACTCTTTAAAAATTGTTGCTAAGATCATTTCAAGAGCTCACATCACTTGGTCAACCGGACCAATGGGGCAAATGCTAGGTGTCACCACACAAGGTTCACGGTAAGCTCATCATACAAGGCATTGACACTGATGTCAAACAAGACTCCACACTTGCGCTAGTGTGCAATGTTCATCACAAGAGACTCAATTTGATAATTAGCTAGTCACAACGAGATGCAATGAGTTCACATATTGCCTATGCAACTTCATTTGGCCTCATCGTAGCCGTACATTCATGTTTGTTTGGTTCAGAGCACTATTCAAGTCATCAGTATTGATCACAACCGACAATCAAATTTGCACAAGAACAACCACAATTAAATACACAAGAGGTGGTATAATTATTTTGGAAGGGTCCAAAACTCATTTACATTCAAAATAATGAGCCACAAGCTCAAACTTCACAAAAATAGTGTTAAAACACAAATTTCAGCACAAAACCCAATATATAAATAAAATACTAATCACAAGTCCTCAAATGCAATAAAAATATTTAAAAAGTAATTAAAGATGACAGAGAGGGAGGTAAAGAGGGATCCTGTCTACACAATCATTCCATCTGTCAGGGCATCAATGCCCGGTGTAACATGAGTCTAATCATGGGCATCAGTGCCTGGAGTTACCTTAGAAGTACCAGCTCCACTGGACTCACCCATGGTGGTGTCTCTCAAAGAAGTCTGGTGAGAGGTCTCAAACATCACATCCTCAAGGTTTACGAGATCATCATATACCTTAGCATCTCGCACCTCTATCTGATCCTCATCGGTCTCTGCCTCCGACTCATCAACTACTACGTCATCCCGATGTACATCTCCAGTGATGGATGGAGGGATCTCAGAAGTCACTGGGGAATCCATATCATCCGCTGCCTCCAATAATGAACTGAAGTCAGTGAACTTCAAGTAGTCCACGTCCTTTCTTAAATCTGCAACCTCGACTTTCAAAGTCGTCACCTATGAAGTCTCCCCTATCTACTCTCCAAGCCTCAAATCTCATAGTGAGAGTTTCAATTGATGCTTGTACGGGGGTCAGTGCAGCTATGACAACACTCTCAATCATCCAGAGGACTGCCGCCTCTAGTTTGGTAGCCCTCACATCAGTTGAATGGGATAGGTGCCCCATATTCAGGATCATAGCCTGAGTAATCCTGCCGTGCTGGGCTGGGCTGTAGTAGAAGTACAAGGGGCCTGGGAGGAAGAAGTAAGAGTAGATGTACCTGAAGGCTCGGAGGCCGGAGTAGGCAAAGTTGCCTCTGTAGGTATAGAGTCAATGTCCACCTCTGGAGATGTATCCACCGGAGCTGCTTTCCTCCTGTCGGCCTCCTCTCGAGTGTACTCAGCCTCTATACGCTGGATGTTAGTGGAGGATAAATGAGTAACCTCAATATCTTTTGTCGAATCCTGAGAAAGTCTAGCACACCGGAATGTGAAAGGATTTCTCACATGAAAGATTCTAGGTTGAAATTATTGCTTACCTAAAATTAATCTAGACTAAAAGACTATGTAAATGATGAGGCTAGAGGCGACTACCCTTGACCTCCATATAAGAAGGATAGGAGGTGATTTCTGATATTCCTTTGAATTGAAAAATAGGTGATTCCTCATGTTCCTATTATGATGAATGGACATAGAGTCGAGTACCCATGATCCTTATGAAATGATGTGGAGGCGAGTACCCATGTCACATGATGTGATTGTGGAGGCAAGTACCAATGATCTTAAAGTAAGTAAGGCAAGAG